CCGGCTCTGGTGCAGGGATGAACGAGCCGCTGGCGGGGAGAGGCGCCAGTTGGCTCTGGTGCAGGTGAAGCCGCCTGGGCCCTACTGCTCCGGGCAGTTCAGGATGTCGTATTTCACGTAGCCCACCCGCTCCACCTGGTAGCGCGGGGTCATTCGCCAGTAGAAACGGTCCTGGCAGAAGTGGTACTTTCCTGGGCCAGGGAGGAATGCAGAGGGAAGGGGTTAGCATGAAGGAGGAGCTGTGGGACCTGCCTGCTCCCAGGCTCCGGGGAAGCCACGCGCAGCCCCCACTCCCCAGCCCGGCTGAGCGCTCGGCCGGCTCAGGGCAATGCCCGAGAGAGCGTGTGCGGCCCAGGCCCAGCACCTTCCTGGAGCCAGCCAAAGGGCTCCGAAGCCACAGGCTCTAGTGTCTTCGAATGGCAGCAACAAGGAGCCACCAGGCCAGGCCTCAGCGAACCATCACCCAGCCACGGGGTCCCAGAGACCAGCCCCGCCTGCCCCCCATTTCACTCCGGGGAAGTGGCCCTGGATAGCGCAGCCAAGGGCAAGAGCAGAGTGCTGGGTGGGGAGCGCAGCAGCTCTCAGGCAGAGAAGGGGGCGCTGTCTCCCCAGGACTCCCCGGCCCTGGGCTCGTGGCACCAGCCGATCCTTCCAGAGCCAGGGGAGGGTCAGACTGGGGGGTGGAGGTGGGGAGGGGCCGGCCCTAGAGCCGCAGGATCGGCCTGTGCCCAGGTACAGGGCCTGGCAGCCTAAGGGCAGTGCCAAGGTGCCATGGAGAGCTCCCTCGCCCGGCTCCGCAGAGCCAGGGCCCCGCACTCAGGTCCATCTCGGCCCAGAGAGAGGCCCCGCGTCCCAGAGCCCAGAACCCTTCTCACCTTGGTAGAGGAAGACATCGTGGGCATTGAGGGGCACGCCGGCAAAGGTGTCATCAGTAAGACGTGGGTAGCCCTTGTCCACCTTCTGGACTTTCACGTCCAGCCTGTGGGGAGAAGAGCAGCGCTGGCTCAGGCACCCACAGACCCGGACGTGGGGCCCTGCCTATGTGGGCCTCTGTCATAGGGGCAGGAAACGAGCTAATTCCCTGAACCCGATCGCCCCCCCGTCCCCGTCGGCCCAGCACCAACCTCGCGCTCACTCACCTCCAGTACTTCTCCCCACTGAAGAGCAGCACTTTGCCGCGCCCCCTCTGCAGGGCTCCTGAGATCCGCTCTGCCTCCTTACCGATGCCCAGCTTCTCAATCCCGCGGGGGCCCAACACGCTGCTGCCCGTGTACACCCAGAAACGCCGACCTGCCACAGAGACACAGTGCTAACAAGACAGCCCCAGCCGAGGGAGAACATGCACCCACTCAGTCCACGCACGGGCACCACAGTCCAGCGAGCCCCCCAGAGGGAGCAGAGTGGCAGGGCACGGAGCTGCAGCCCAGGCTGGGGAAGGACCAGTCCCTCAGTCGGTCACTACGAGAATGACCACTGGGCCCCTCCCCCCACTCCAGGGTGCCCAGGGCTCTAGTGACCAGCTCGGCCCTGTCCCAAGCTGCTTGGTGGCCCCCAGAGAGAGGCGCTGGGGCAGATGCTGGCACTGACTGACCCCCCCATGCAGCAGCCAGCCCTGAGCAGCCCCCAGGCTTGCGGCAGGGCAGGGTGAGTGTGGGGAAGCTGGGGCAAGAACCCAGCATCGGTGCAGCAGGGGCCAGGCCAGGCCTCCAGTGAGGGATGCCCAGGGCACCAGGCAGGGGATCTGTAGGGGGCCGGGAGGTCCTGGCAAGCTGGGCAGGTCCCAATCCTCACCCGAGAAGAAGAAGAGCTTCTTGGTGAGCAGGTCCTGGAAGGCGGCATCGATGAGGGCCGGGAGCGCCGGCCATGTGGCCGAGATCCGGAATGGGCCCTGAATCGCCCCCTTCCGGGATACGGAGCTTTTCCAGTAATTCCTGAGGGTGCAAGATCCCAGTGTCATGCCGGTAGCATGGGGGTGAACCCCAGTGCCCCTCCACCCCCAGAGCCCCCTGCCAAGCTCATAGACTCATAGACTTTAAGGTCAGAAGGGACCATTATGATCATCTAGTCTGACCTCCCGCATGATGCAGGCCACAAAAGCTGACCCACCCACTCCTGGAATAATTCTCTCCCTTGACTCAGCTGTTGAAGTCCCCAAATCATGATTTAAAGACTTCAAGTCGCAGAGAATCCTCCAGCAAGCGACCCCTGCCCCATGCTGCGGAGGAAGGCGAAAAACCTCCAGGGCCTCTGCCAATCTACCCTGGAGGAAAATTCCTTCCCGACCCCAAATATGGCGATCAGCAGAACCCCGAGCATGCGGGCAAGATTCTCCAGCCAGACCCACATTGACCATTGATACTAATTACCAGCGATGGCACGTTATTGACCTATTGACTAAAATCACGTTATCTCATCGTATCTCACGTAAGCTCGGCCCTGCTGCAGCAGACGTGGGGGTCACACTCTAGGAGAGAGGGGGCCCCACTGGTTCCCTTCATCAGCAGAGGGCTGGGAGCGGCTTGGCTGGGAGCAGGGGCGACTCCAGGATTAAATGCCCATGTAGATACCAAGGTCTGGGCTCCCCTCATCCCTGTGCCCCCCACCCCCGCCGCAAGCCGCAGGGCTCGCTCACCCGCCCTTGAAGAAATGCAGCTCCCCGTTGATCTCGGTGATGGCGTCGAAGGAATTCACTTTGCAGGCATCACTGCTGGGGTCCACAGGGCTGGGCTCAGTTGGCAAGGGATAGTCGTCATCTGTGGCTGTGTCAGGCTCTGCTGTGGTTGTGGTGTCCGCGGCTTGCGTGGTTGCCTGGTCAGGGATGTCTGGCACCTGGATCGTTGGTGCAGGACCAGAGCCCTGGCCTGGGAGACGGGAAGGAACATAAGGCCAAAGCCACAGGAGAGGGGCCCATCTGCTGGCGGGGCAGATGATACCGGGGCCCCAGCAGGGCAGAGCGGCACAGCAGGGACAGGCCCCACACAGGTTGTGAGCCAGAGGCCCCGGCTCCTGCTGCCACCACGTGGGTTACGCTGACAGCGCTTTGGGCTTGGAACAAGCCTGTCTGGAGCAGTGGGGAGCTTCACGGGCTCCCATTGTGTGCCCTGGCACCCAATTCCTGCAGCGGGCGCCACCCTTGACAGGGAGGGGCAGGGGAGATCTCAGAGACCCAGGCATGGCTCCCGAGCATGGGCTGCAGCCTGTCATGCATCCCTGCTACATTGGCATGGAGCAGTCAGGGTTGCCATAGAAACTGGCATCTCCATGAATACTGATGGAAACGCTGAGCCAGTGACATGTGCAATTTGGGGCCATTTCTCTTTCCAGGATCCGTGCCGTGGCCCTGCCCTGCCGCCCACCCCTGTCCTGCTGCCCACCTTGCCCGCGGCCCTGCCCTGCCGTCCACCCCTGTCCTGCCGCCCACCCCTGCCCGCGGCCCTGCTCTGCCACCCACCCCTGCCCGTGCCCGGGCTCAGGGCACCTGCTCACCATAGAGGAATTGGATGCCGCTGACATCGTCTGGGTGCAGGTGGAAGTCCTTGATGTAGCTGTACATGGGGTACATCAAGGCCTCGCGGACACTCGAGTGGTCCAGGCCCAGAGAATGGCCGAACTCATGGGCAGCAACCAGGAAGAGGCTGTAACCTGAAACCCCAGAACAGCTGTCAGGGTCCAGACAGACCCGCCCGGCCCCGGGGGTCTGACGCCCACCCCCCAGCCACCAGCCGGCCCCCACTGGCCCCGGGGGTCCGACACCTGGCCCAGCCTTCCCCCACTGGTCCTGGAGGTCTGATGCCCCCCCCACCAGCCAGCCCCGCCCGACCCCGGGGTCTGATGCCCCACCCCCAGCCAGCCCCACATTGCAATCCAGAGGGCCCTGACCAGCCACCTGCTGCAAACACATGCCCCAGGGGGCTGAGGTGCAGCAACCGTAGCTGGGCTGAGGCCAGGGTCCATGACTGCTTCCTAGAAAGGGCCCCGTGTGGGGCAGAGGTGGGTGGCCTGGGGCCCAGGGAGCGGCCGTACCTTGGTCGGGACAGAAGCCCCACTTGTGGTCGGTGTCATAGTTGCTGGTGGTGGCACACCAGAGCTTCCCGTCCTGCCGCCCCTCGCTGGTGCATGCGCTGTACGTCTGGCCCAGGAAGGTGAACGGGAACACACACGGGTCGCCCTGGGAGTTCCCGCCAATCACAGCTGTGTCTGCAGCACAAAACCAGCCGGGTGAGCAAGACTCCAGCTCCCTGGCGGGGGGGGGGGGGGGCGCCCCTAGGCTGCCTGGGCCACTCTGAACAAGGAGACATCCTCTGGGGCAGCTGCCACTGCAAACACAGACTCACTGGGGGGCCCCAGAGGGCAGGGGGCACAGAGTATGGGGAGGGCAGCAAGGGCCTGGCTTCTGAGGAGTCTGGTGCTAGCCCAGCTCATGCGCCTGCCCCAGGGCAAGAACCCTCACGCCAAACGGTCCTGGGCAAAGAGGCCAAGGCCAGCAAGTGCCAAGTGCATGAGCCAGGGGTGAGTGAGCCGGGGGCTCCCAAATCCAGCCCCCTCTCAGGCTTTCTGTGCAATTGGCCAGGGCTGCGAGCAGCCAGGGCGGAGGATGCCGTGGGGCTGCACGCTGGCCGCTGGGCCATGCACTCGCAGCAGGGCAGGAGTGCTGACAGCCCGAAGCAGGGCCCAGCTAAGCAAGAGAGGCGTCCAGGTTACAGGGCTGGAAGAGGCCCCTGGGCAGATGAGGAAAGCGCCCAACTGCAGCCCTCCAATGGTACCCAAGGGAAGAGACTCCTGCAGAGTGCAGCAGGGCCGGGGGAGGTGCTGTGCCCTAGGGGAGCAGCCCATCAGCTGACACGGCTATTGCCCGAACAGTCCCGCCCTGCGCCCCCCAGTACCTCTGTTGGGGCAGAACCCGTATTTCTTGTCCTGGTCGAAGCTGGCGGTGGTGGCGCACCAGCGGTAGCCGTCAGAGCGCCCGTCTGTGGTGCAGGCATCGTAGGACTTCCCCTCGAAGATGAAGGGGAAGACGCACTTGGCACCGTCGCTGTTGCCGTCATAGGTGTAGAGAACTACCCGAGAGATACAGAGAGCGCTGGAACGTCTCCGCCAGGCAGGGGCCTCTGGACACACAGCAACCCCTCCACCCCCAGTGCCAGGGAACCTGCCCCCCGATATCCTCCCTGCCCGGGGTCCCGCTTCAGGGCTGCCCCAACGCGCTGGTACTCACGCTCGCTGGGGCAGAAGCCGTAGACCTTGTCCGTGTCATAGTTGGGGGTGGTGGCGCACCAGGGCAGCCCGTCGGAGCGCCCCTCTGAGGTGCAGGTGGAGTAGGACTGTCCCTCGAAGGTGAAGGGGAAGTGGCAGGCGGCCCCGTTGGCGTTCCCGTAGCTGGTTTTCACCACTGGTGGGGAGAGAGGAGGGGTGTGGTTCAGGGGCTGCTGCTAGTGCCAGTGGGAGGGTGGGTTCCCCAGCCAGGCAGCGACCCTGGAGTCTGGCCTCACCTATCCCTGTTCCCAGCGTCCAGAACTCGTCGTCATCGAAGTGGGCATCTCCCTGAACCCCTTTGCCAGGGGGGAAAGCGTGGGCCAGAAGTCCGTCCTTCCCGTCAAACGGATACCCGTCACCGTGCTCTGGAGACAGAATCCCACAGTCAGCCATCCACCTGGCTCCTGAAAGCCCCATCTGCCCAGAGAGAGCAGGGTGGAGATGGCCAGACCCCCCCTACAGACCCCACATGTGCCAGCCCACGCACCCAGCAAACACCATGCTGCCAGGGGCTGACAGGAGGTGTAAATGAGCGAGTATAACCCAGGAAACCTCCCCCCGTGCCTGCCCTTTGGCCCCCTCACGAGCCCTGCCGCAGGCACCCCGCACCCCACCCACCTGCCCTGAGAGAGGGGCTCACCCTCGGTGCCAAACTGGATCATGATGTCGGCCTCGCCGCTCTGCAGCCGGGTGAAGGTGAGCGGGGTCACGTCACTCCACACCTTGAAGGCTCGTGCAAAGGCATCGTCTATCACAGAGGCGTCCAGGTCTGGGGAGTGGTTTATTACCCTGCCGGGGTGGGGGTGGGGAGGGAGGAAGCCGCACAGGGTCAGACCCGCAGGGCTCAGGTGCCCCAGAGTAACCCCCCAGCTGCAACTAACCACGCAGGGAGGGGACACCCGAGACACACAGGGGACCTGCTGCACTCACGGGACTCAGTCCAAGGCCTCAGGTGCTCCAGCCCAATACAGTGGCCAGCAGAGACCAGTTGTGCCATGGCACAGAGCAGCAGCGCCTCCCCCCCCCCCCCGGCCTGGGCCTCCCTAGGCCAGGGGCACTGCCGGGGACCTCAGCCCAAGCAGGCTGGAGGACGTTACTGCTTAGTCAGAGCTGCAGCTGTAAAATCAGCCTGCGTGGCCTGGGGCCAGGGCTCTCCCTCCCTGCCCCAGGTGCAGTCCCTGTCTATGGGGCATCGCGGTATTTTGAAGTCCAGGAGTGGCCTGGGGGTCGGGGGGGGGCTCACCGGTAAGTGAGGTCATTGTGATCCCACTTGAGGTCTCCTTCGAAGGTGAGGAATCTGCCCACGTCGGGGACGCCGCAGCGAGGGGCTCGCATGGCCTCCAACGTGCTGGCGTCCAGCTCCCCCGTCTCCTCCAGGCCCAGCTGTTTCTGCATCCTCCTGAGCGCCTTGCCCATGGAGAGCTGCCTGCTGCGGGTCTGCCCCTCGGACTCCGTGTAGCCAAAGCGCAGGAGGTAGCTCTGAAAGGAGAGATGGTCAGCGGGGCGGGCAGCGCCGGGCAGGGCGGGCAGTGCCTGCTGCCAGGACAGGACCAGCTAGGCTACCCAGAGGGAAAGTGACCCATCCCTCCCCATTCCCAAGGAGACTCCCAGCTTTCCCCGGCCCTGCATCCAGGACACCCCCCTCCTCTCATGAGAGCAGGCTCACGGTGCAGCCCTCCAGCCTGCTCGCCCCCATCCCTCCTTTGCCATGGATCGGGGAGACGGCCAAGGCCCTGAGAGTGGTCACTGGGCTCATCTCGGCAGGGGACCCATGAGCCCACTGTCCTAACAGCCGACCCGCTGCACAGGCACCGGGCACCTCAGGGATGCCCTGCTGGGGGTCCCAGCCCTTACTCACTTCTGCAAGCTGCAGATCCGTCCGATTACTGACCAGCTCCCCCGGGAAAGTGATCACAGCCTGGGGCTTGGAGTGGAGTGGTGCAGCCCAGCAGCTCAGGGCCAGGAGCCCCATGGCTAGCGGGGCCAGGAGAGTGAGCCCCATGGCGAGGCAGTGGGCTGAAGTTAGTTGCTGGCTGGCTGGCTGGCTGTCTCTGGGTACCCGGCTGCCCTGCGGCTCTGTGCCGTGCAGAGCTGCCAGCTGCTATTTATGCTGTGGAGGGGGGGTGAGTCACTCAGCCCCTCTCCCAGCCGAGGTGACTCAGGCCCTTGGGGCTTTGCTCAGCTCTTTAACTATTTCAACACCTTGTTTACCAAAACACGGCCCGCAGGAAGCAGGACATCCTGTGAGGCAAGAGCAGCGGGGGAGGGGCTGGACAGGCTCCTCCGTGCCAATGCCGTGCCGGGGCCGCCCAGCTGGCAAGCGGCACACCGGGGCCTCCTCCCCAGGCTTCGGCACTGGGACGCTCCCAGCCTCTGAAAGTCATCACAAAGTTTTGCTGCCCGAACCTGGTTCTCCCAAATGGGTTTGGGGCAACAGCTCCGCCCCCAGGCCCTGCATGAATTCGGGGCTGGACTGGGGCCAGGTGTCTGTTCCTTGGCCCAGCTCCGCGGGGGTAAAACGAGCAGAGAAGAGACCCACCCCTGAAGTGGGGAGACACCCAAGTTAGCGCTGCAATGGCACTGCTGCTTAGAGTGGAACCTGCAAAGACCTCATAGACCCACGTGCATAGTCAGATCCACCCGAAAACTGGCCTGTCAGGGCAGCATGAAGGGTGCAGCTTGTGGGGCAAGTTTGGGGTAATTTGATGCAGGGGGCTCCAGATACCGGTCCCCCAGTGACTATTTCGTAAGAACATTTTGACTTATAGGCCCTCAGGATGCCCGTCCAGCTCCCCAGGGCTCGTCCAGCCCAGCCACCTGCCTCGGCCGCACCAGAACCAGCTGCCTGAGAGGAAGGAGCAGGTCTCTTGTGCCAGGAAACGGTGCCCTATGGGAGGGGTGGGGGGCACGCTCAGGTGGAGCAGCGTGCCCAGGGTGCCCAGGCATGGCTGACTATGGTGCTTTGTGGTACAGGGAAGGGAGCTGCCCACACGTGCACTGCACCAGTGCAGAGCCACCAGGGCACGGCTCCCACAGTCCTTTGCCGCCGACCCCCTTGGGGCCCCTGAACAAAATCACAAGATCCAAGGCCCACGGGTCAGGCCAGGCCTCCTGTGTCACCAGCACTGGGCAGGCTCCCCAGGGTGCTATGCAGGAGTCTCCCCTCACGCCCGCGCAGGGACAGGCTGGCCGGCGCCCTGGGGGAAGGGGCAGAGATTACCCCTCCCCCCGGCCAGCCCCTTTTCTTGCAGGTCACTTTTCCCCACGTGTGGTTTCATCAGCACAGACTCAGGTAGGCTCCGGCCCCAGCGAGTGTGCCCTCCTGGCGCAGAGCCAGAGGTCAGCCCAGCACGTGGCCCAGATGCTGCCTCGGCGCAAGGCTCCGTGGGCCTTTCCCACGTGTAACGACTGATCCCCCAGCCCCACTCCCTGCCCCGCCGGCTGCACGGCGCGTCACGGCCCCCCCTCCACCCTGGCCAAGGGGGCAGACGCCTCGCCCGTGGGTCGTTGTTTACACTTGGTGGGAACCCAGTGACGGAGGGGAAAGCGAACAGGCCAAAGGAGGGAAAGGAAGGTGGTGGCCGAGAGGCAGCTCAGGCCCCACTGACCAGGACTTTGGAGCACCGGGGTGGCCAGGCTGGAGCAGCCCAGGGACCGTCTGTCTGCTGCCCTCTCACCAAGAGGGGCCAGTGGCAGCTGCCTGTGAGGCTGGTGCAAGGCCCCTCCTGCGCCGTCGGGAGAGGCTGGCTCGCGCCCCAGGCAGGACGGTTTGGCGCTGGCTGTTCTTGGTACCCTCAGGGAACCCCTCTGGGCTACTGGCCCCAGAGAGATCTTGCGGCCTCACAGCCCGCAGGCCAGTTGTGTGAGACAGTCTGTCAGCTGCGGTGAGGGTCCCTCGCTCCCTCCCGCCTTGAGAGTGGGGGACAACGCCCCAGCTGCCCTGGAGCTGGCCCCGCCCTAAGCTGAAGGTGTGATGAAGTGGGAATGTTTTTAATGTTTCTTCTGAATACTGTAGGGGTGCCTCAGTTTCCCCTATGCATTTCTTAAGTCTCTAGGTGGTGGGATAAAGGCCAGTGTGCATAAATGGCCGATACTCTGTCTCCCTGGCAACTAATGGCCGGGGCCCTTCCCCCCCCCCCCCAGGTGATAGCTAAAGGTGTTGGAGAACAAAGGAATCGGTGACCTCCTGGCCCGGAAAGGGACAAAGCCCAGAGGAGGAGGGGCTGGAGAATTTAAGTTTGGGGCTGACTGAGGATGTGGAGTGAGTGCAGACATGGGTGTCTGGCTCGCTCCCCCCCCCCAAAATGGACCCGGCTGAGGGGTCCGTTTCTCTGGACCTACAAGCTCTGTTTTAGACTGTGTTCCTGTCATCGAATAAACCTCTGTTTTACTGGCTGGCTGAGAGTCACGTCTGACTGCAAAGTGGGGGTGCAGGACCCTCTGGCTTCCCCAGGACCCCGCCTGGGCAGACTCACTGTGGGAAGCGCACGGAAGGGCAGAGGATGCTGAATGCTCCAAGGTCAGACCCAGGAAGATGAAGTCGTGTGAGCTTCTTGCCCTGAAGACAGTCTGCTCACAGAGAGGAGACTTCCCCAGAGTCCTGCCTGGCTTCGTAGGGAGCCGTTCCAGAGCATCACCCGGGGACTCTGTGACAGAAGGCTCCCAGCTGGGTCACTCTCCACACAGGAAAGTCTCTGCAGGCCCCATCCTCCTCCTCAGGCCTGAGTCGGGCGGGTGCGGCCCAGCTGCGGCCTGAGGGATTTTCCTGCCTTTCCCCCAGGGGCCCTAGGGGGAGCCGAGCTGTTCCCGCAGCCCCCCATCTCGGCTGATGGGTTTGAGCCTCACCCCGCAAGGTCCAGTTGCTTATACCTGTGCCAGGCCCTGGCCGACACGGGGCACTGCCAGGGGGCCGGGGGGTGGAGAGGAACGGGTCCAAGAGCTCATTACGCGCCAGCCACGCACAGCCCCCGGGGAACTATCCCTCCCCCTTTAAGGGCCGGGGGGACCGTTGGCAGCAGGTGTCCGACACCTGCAAGCCAAAGAGCCCATCCTTGTGTGCAGATGAGCCAGGATCGCTGCAGGAGTCGTGGTTTTCCACGCAGCTGAGAGCCATGGCAGCCCTCCCCAGCAGTGGGGTGATGGCAGAGAGCAGGCCAGTGCCGGCTGCACCTGGCAAGGAATCCTCCTCCCCCTCCAAACACAGTCTGGGAACCCAGGGATGAGAAATGGGGCCGGTTGCTTCATCTCACACCACAGTCTGCAAGAGTGACGGGGAGGAAGTTACTAACCGAATGAAGAAAACCCTTCCTCCTTGAATCACTGCTCTCCACACACGCTGAGCTCATCCCATGGGAGCCCCCCGCCCCAGGAATCCCTTCCCAGCACTAAGCGCCAGGCACCTATAGACCCCCAGGTGCTCTGCAAAGCAACGGAGGAGACGCTCCATGCCGCGGGCGCTGCTCCCAACCTGGGCACCTGCAAACTCCACAGCCCAGGGAGCAGCTGGGGGGAGGGCAACAGGCTTGGGGGGCTGCTTCAAGGCTCCAAGGCTCCACCTGCAGCCGCAGGCCATGGGTACCTCAGCACATCAGGCCAATGGCCCTGGAACAATTTCTATAGTGTGGGTGGTGAGAGCCATTGAACCAAACTGTAAACCCTGTGTGTGATGGAAACCACTTCGAGCCAGGGGGTGCACCCCCAGCACCCCTAGTTCCAGCACCTGTGCATCAGGCCCAGCGCCAGCTCCCTGGGCTCGAGGGTGGGGGCAGCAGAAGGGGGATTATTTCCCTTCCCTTGCTCGCCCTCTGTGCTGGGAATCCGCCTTCCCGGGACACAGAGCCCAGACGGCAAACGGGCTGTAAGGGGGGAGCCAAATTCCACATTGAGACACTTCGGCCCCTGGCTGGTTCGCTGGGCACCCGGCTGGGAATCCTGCACACTGCCAGCCAGGGTGGTGCCCGCCCCAAAGTCCTTACACGAGGTGCCCCGGGCCAGCAAGGATGGCAAAGCCTCTTGAGAAAAACGTTTCAAGACTTGGCCCAAACAGCCCAGGAATCTGCCCAGGGCGGTTCCATGGTTGGGCTATGCAGGCCAGACCAGATGGGCACAAGGGTCCCTCCTGGCTTTGGATCTCTGAAACCACAGGGAGGCTCCTCTCCCCTGAGAACGTGGCAGTCCGGAACGGCCACCCATGCTCCAGCGATGTAAAACCCCCAGCGGAGCCACCCCTGGCCCCTAGAAACCCCTTGGCTAGATGGACCTTTGGTCTGACCCAGTATGGCCATTCTTATGTTCTTAGCCCTTCTCCCAGGGCCCCAGCCCGTCTCCTGCCCGGACTCACCTCCGGGGGTAATTCCATCCCCCCGCCCTCAGACCCCTGCGATTCTAGCTGGATCCGGGATTCTCCTCCCTGTCCCGCCCTGGCCTGTCGGGAACCCCGCTGGGAGCGGACAGATGCTCAGTGGCTGAACTGCTCCCTAGCGTTTGTGCAGCCTGGGGACTCTTGGCTGGGCAGAGCCACCCAGGGGCCCGTTGTGGCATCTGAAGGACGCGTTGGGGCAGGGCACTGGCTCTTCCAAACACACGAAGGCAGGTGCAGCCCATGCCCAGCCCCTGTGCACATGAGCAATGCCCAGCCTACGCTCCCCTCTGGCCGGGGCAGCCTGACCCCGCTGGCATGGGCCTCCCCACGCGGGGAGGGGGGTTCCCAGACAGGCCTGCGCGTTCCCCCAGCGGGGTCTGGCTGGCCCTGTGAGAGCGGGTCAATCACTGAGAGTCGGGAGTGGACACCAAGACACAGTGCAGCTGGTACAGAGCCCGAGGCTCCCGGGATCCTCCCTGGGCCAGCCGCTCCCACTGACTCACAGCCAGGCTAACACAGCTGCTGCTGGCATCAGCACCTGGGGATTTTCGAGTGACTCCTTGGAGCCAAACAAGGAGAAGAGGCCAGGGCAGAGCAAGGGTAGGGAAACTTCGCCCCCTCTGTCTGGAGCTAGCGAGCCTCCATGGAGGGCGCCCGGGGAATTCCAG